TTCGTTCGCGCCCCCCGGCCGTGCGGGGATCCGGGCAGGCGCTTTGCTTGTGGCTGCTGCGGCTCAGATCGCTCTCCTTCGCTCTGCAGAGGCCGTTGTCTAGCGTGAGCGACTGTAAAACCTCGCGCTTTGCTTCGTTAGCTACCTGGAAGGGTGTTCTGCCAGTGCAAACCTCACCAGGGAAACGAGAGGGGAAAAGTTAGCTTGGTCTTCAGCAGAAACTAAGAGTAACTTAGTTACTTCTCTTTTCAGGTATTGATTTTAAAATTAGAACTATAGAGCTAGACGGCAAGAGAATTAAACTACAGATATGGTAAGCCTTTTCTTCTAACGTTACATGAATTAATTTCTTATAACCCGGCATCAGTATGGTGTGGAGTAGTGATATTATCATTACGTTTTCAATCTAGTTGTGCTCTTCAGTAGCTTACAGTATCTTAGAAACCACAACTGTTGTTTCAGTGCTTCTAAAAACTGATTAAAAATATTTAATTAAAGTTTCTGAAAGCTCTAATTTCAGCGCAATAGCTTCGCTGGGTTGCATGAGCCCCTGTGTTCTGGTCTGTTTCAGGGACACGGCTGGGCAGGAGCGATTCCGAACCATCACGACAGCGTACTACCGGGGAGCAATGGTAGGAGCGGGGCAGGTCACGCTGAGCGTTCAACAGACACCTTAGTTTTCAACATCAAACCAGCTGTGTTTTAATGGGGAGCGTATGTAACCGCCTGTGTTTCAGCATATGAACTCTAGCTGGGTAAACACTTGACAACTTGCACTCCTGTTCCTCAGCGCTAATGGTGTTGAAGCTGTACTGAGACAATGTGGGGACCTACAAAGTCAGATTTCCATTGTGACTCACTGTATAAATATACATTTAGTACACCTTATCTAATAAGACACAAATTGTGATTAAATGTTATGTGTAACTTGGAACTATTTCTTTTTAAATAGTCTTTGTTAAGTTTCTTTGTCATGGAAAAGTCTTTAACTTTTGCTTAAACTGGCGCTAGCTGAAATAAGGTGTTTTGTTTTTATCTTTAGGGCATTATGCTAGTCTATGACATCACCAATGAAAAATCTTTTGAAAATATTCGGAACTGGGTCAGGAATATTGAAGAGGTAATTTCTGTTTATTGACTCAGTATTAAAAATGCTATCCCCATTCTAGAAGTAGTTAAAAGTTAAATGCTTCAGCATTGTTATGTTTCTTTCTAATTTATGTACTGTAGAGTAAATGTGGAAAACATATTGCAAGAAAATTGGTAATATCTTTTAGAATGTCTCGGTTCATAGTAATTCATTGCACGTGAGAGCACGTTGTATGGACTGTAGCCTTTCTAGCGATTGAGAGATGTTTTCCTGCCACCGCAAGTGACCTAAAGAGCTGCCTTTATGCAGGCAGGCCCTGAGCTGTGAGTGTCTGAAGAAAACTGTTGGGATGGGGTGTTTGGGGGAAACTCTTAAATCTATGGAAAATTCTTTGCATCAGCACCTTTGTTTTCAGTACTTGATGTATGCTTCACCTTTCTGATGTTTTTTTGTAGACAAATACTAAGCTGAAGTACTTTCTTTTGTCTGTTTCTATGTCAGCATGCCTCCCCAGATGTTGAAAAAATGATTCTTGGAAATAAGTGTGATGCAAATGACAAAAGACAAGTCTCTAGAGAGCAAGGGGAGAAGGTAAGTGCCATCGCCTGGCTTCATCCTGTCTCTGCCCAGGGGCTGAAGTCAGTGCTTGGAACTGAATACTTCCTAAATCCCTCAGTCTCTTTAAAGCCCGTAAAGTTCCTTACTGCCAAGACGGTTGCCAAGTGTGGCTCGTGTGTCTGACTTGCTGCTTTTGTGGCAGGAGTCTATGTTATAGCTGCCTTAGGAGGACTAAAGTGCTAATTTTGAAGTTCCAGCCAGTAAGATTGATCTACCACTTCTGAAAGCTCACTAAAGTATGATGGTGTTCCTTCTTGGATTTAATCTTTATCCTTGTTATTTTGGTCTCAGCAGTGAAATCTTCTGTACGAATGTTAAAATAGTTTTTATTCATTTTGATGTATGTGTGCCTCAGCTGGAAAAAACTGTTATTCTGCTGGTAGAAAACCTGTTCTTCCAGTGAAGAAAATGGTTCAGAGTTAGTGGTTATTGATTTCTATACCTAACAAAATAATGTGCACTACCTGTGAAGTGTTATTGGCTTCTGTGATCTCTTATGAATGCCACAGTCGTAAATGAAGCTTACAAAAAAAAGTTGAGATCATAAATTAGAGCCCCTTGCTCTAATTGTAAGCATTCAGTGTTGTGCTCTTAATCGTTAAAGAAAAAAAAAAATCTTCATTTCAAAAGTTGAAAATCCAAAAACCTCTGGAGTGTTTTATAAAATTGCAGTTTGCTGATGTTTGGGACCGTTTAGGAATGGTTAACTTGGCTATAGAATAACATACTCTTAACATTATAAACAGCTGTATTACCACGTTTAGTAACAGAGGCTAAAGTCAGACTTCCACTTCCAAAGCGGCAATTGTCATTTTCTATAAGGTGCTTGAGAACTGATACACTGAATATGCCACCGCCACCAGCCCCAGAAACCTCACTGCTTTAATTTATTTCAAATTAGACTTTTCAAAATGTAAACATTGTATTCATTGTTGTCTATATGTTGCCCTGTTTCTTCCAGGGTATTTCTCAGTGGAACTATTTAACGTTTCCCAAGCTGTAGTTGCAATATGTTTCCCTATTCTGATGAAAAGATGAGTCTGTGTTAAGAATTCTTGTTTGTTGACTGTCTGGTCAGGGTTTGTTAGATGCAGAGCAGGAAAACTGAATTTATTCTTAGTAAAAGGAAGGAAAAGCATGCAAAAGGCTAGCATTTAGGAATGTCCCTTTTTGATGAAAGCCAGTGAGGCAAAAGAGATAGGATTGTCTTTTCTGGCTTCAATTGTTAATTAGTCAAGGTAAAGAATGTACTTCTGTGCACTGCAGGTATTACAAGTCTCACAAGATACCTATGCAAAAAAATAAAATATAAGGAACAAAGGAGCCAATTAAAATGTATGCAGAATGTAAAACAGAAGAACAAAAACCAGTGAGAACAGATACCGATAGGAATCAGATTCAGTTCCTGATTTTTGCAAATTGTTCTGCTTGAGTAGATCCCCAATTCCTATGAATCACTCTAGGAGGGGTAGATCCTGCACCATTGGTTATATTTATAGCTGTTCCTGCAATTATCCAACTAACACGAACCTGCTTTTGTTCAGCTTGCCGCAAGTTTTGGAATTAAATTTATGGAGACCAGTGCAAAAGCAAATATAAACATAGAGAATGTAAGTATGCAACCCTTCCCTTCTACTTACTGTCTTAGTACAAAAAGAAGCAATAAGAGCACTTACCCGTGCTGACTGGATGCAAAACTCAATTGTTAGATATTTCAGATGGGTTGTTAAATACATATCTTTGCCTCCTGTGAATGCATGGTCTAACCAATGTTATTCTAAATGATTGAAATTGAACTTGGTGCGTAAAGTGTAATGCAGAGGCATTACAGCAAACTGCTTTAGAATAGCATGCTGAAAAGATTGGTTTATGTCTCTGCATGTATTCGATAGTGCCACTTATATAGTGGCAAAATGATGCCCTTTCTAAAACCTGGATGTGCCCACATCGTGGGTACTGTGTCCTATTACAGTTTTCAGCCTCAAAAAGGCAGTAGTGGATTTAGAAAAGGTTCAAAGACAGAGGAAGGAGCATTAAAACCTCGAGAAAGGAAAACTGAGAATCTGACGTTCTTCACGAGTTTCGTGTGTGCAGAAGCACAGGAAGGCAGCTTATTACTAAACAAAAACGTTGGGATATGTTTTCTTCGTCTTGTAACTTTTAACTGTTGTACTTACTATAGGCATTTTTCACTCTTGCAAGAGATATCAAAGCAAAAATGGACAAGAAATTGGTGAGTAACTTTTTACTTAGTCTAGGCTGTCTTTAAGTAGAAACCAACAACCAAAAGCCCAATACTAAGTACTCTATCGTGTTGAATCAAAAATATTTTGTCGTCTCTTTCATGGGGGGTGCACTGAAGGTTATAGAAATTTATTTTTAGTGTTCTCGAACTAATCTGACCTTGGGATATAAACAGTTGTCTCTACATTCAGAAACTAGCTGCAATGGTTGAGGTTCTCTAAATAAAATTATCTTTTATTTGTTTTATTGAAAGCCAAGTGAATCGTAGAGCAGAGCAGTTTAATGATATTCCTTGCTCTTGCAGTCCAAAAAACTGAATCATTTAAATTAGCAACATGGGAGGCCCACTTCCTACTTCACTTAGTCTTCAGGCTGTTATGTTTAACTCAAGGCAGAGAACTAATTAGTTTTTTTGACATAACAAAATCATCTCTCAGGGTGCATTCATAAAAGTCATCTTTCGTACAACAAACGAACATGCATCGGTTTCGGTCTGTGGGTCTTGTTGATGCTTCCAAAGTATTTCAGTAAAAGCCAAACACGTCTTGTATTTTTAAAATTTGGTTGCCTTTGAGTTTAGAGAAATAAGAAGTGTAGTCCATGTTAGTCGGACCCAAAAGTAGCAGATGCAATTCTTTTGACCTCTGGTAGTGGCTGATAGTAAGGCTCACTTAAATGAATGAAAACTCCCGCTCATTTTAGTAATAGTTTTTGTATAATCACAGGCTTGATTCAACCAAATGGATAAAGAATAGATGCTAGATCTTGCAGTGATGCTAAGAGCTGTTTAGTATAAATAAGTAACTTAAAATTCTTTGAATCTTCAGGAAGGCAATAGCCCGCAAGGCAGCAACCAGGGAGTCAAAATCACACCAGACCAGCAAAAGAAAAGCAGCTTTTTCCGATGTGTTCTTCTGTGAGGGACACAGCCTTAATCTGAGCATCTGCTCAACTGAACTGGACTGTGCCTGTTCTGAGTGAGATTTCCTCTGTCTGTGGACTTAACATTTTCAACATACCGTGTCACTCTGTGACCATCTGAATAAGAAATTGTTTATTTTAGTAATTGTCTGACTCTTCAATTTTGGAGATGAAACAAGTTTATTTTTGTCAGATTGTCACTGGGCATATGTCTAGCAGAGGGAATACAGATCAAGTGTGACCTGTAATAGCACCTTTGCTGACAGGCTTCAATCTTTTGTTCATATCTGTAATGTATCCAAATTAGGAAAAATTAAGTTATGATCAAAATAAGAAATTGAAATGCCAATATTAATAAAGAACTGGTATGTGTACATGCTACATGTGCATATCCATGTCTACAGATGCATATAGAACAATCGCATCAAAACATCAAACAAATGCACTTACGCAAGCAGTACAGGCCTATACCTTTTCAGAAGGTAGGAGGAAGCTTTCTACATCCCCCCCTTTTTGCTACTGCAGAGAGAATCCTTTATCTGCCTGTTACTTGTTCAGTTGCATTATTCTAGACAATCCACAAGTACAATTGGAGTTTAAAAAAAAAAAAGAAATGAAATCCTCCTTAAAGAAATCTCTATTTTTTTAAAAAAAACCAAAGTGTGCTGTAAATATAACAGATCCATATAATCAGGAATTACTTTCTTCATGTTAGAGGTGACCATGCTTAAATAATCTACACATTTAGACATGTTTAACAGGAGATATGTACAATCTAGTCCCGTGCAGGTGATCTCTAGTCTGTTTTTAGAGAAATAGATCATGGTTCAGATACGGACATTTCCTCAAAATTCATAGCATTAGTGGACAGCTATTCCTTCTCCAGTTGAGAATGACTCCAGATCTGTCATGATGTAGTGATTAGTTATAACTTGTGAGAAGAAAATGTATTGCACTGCTTCCAGTTGTGTGTTCTCATGCACACTTGCTCACATATGCAAATCAATGTTGCACATATGAACACTTTCTGAAAACAAACTTTTTTAAACTGAGATTTGCCTTGCTGCCGTGCATTGATCAATTCAGATTTAAAGCAGCAACAAACCTCTTAGTGTGCATCAATGCAAATGATGTTTAGTCCTCAGTGAAAATATTCTGTGTATTTATTCTTCTAAACACAGTCTATTACATTCCAATGTATGAAATGTAACAGCCTAGTAAAGCTCCTAGGTAGCTAGTTGCTCTCAGTTCAGAGGCTGTAAGCCTGACTCTAATTAGATTGATAAAAAGGAGCCAGTAAGAGCAATCTACTTAGAAGTCTGCTGTCAAGTAATTGGAATCATGGTATATTTAATCCAAATGAACATATCAGCTGTGTCCTGCAACTCACTGGAATTGTTAACATGCTTTGTTTACATTGACAACTGCACTTAAGGGTAAAATTAAAGCTCATTTTAAAGCTAATGAATTTACTCACCAGTTTTGTTTTCTTCAAGTTTGTGGTATTATTTCTAGCCTCGTAGTAGCACCCACAGGTGCTACTGTAGTTAAAGATCTATCAGATTCATAAATAATCTTTGTAAATCTGCAGAGTGCAATTGGGCTGAACAGGAATATTGCCTGTTGTTCTAAAATCAGATACAAAAAGGAAATTTCACTGTGTAACTTACTGGTTTATAAAAATGCATTTTATATGCCACCAACTTTTTTTAATAGCTAGGAGATTACAGTGAGCTCTGTTTGTGTTTAAAATCATATATAAAACTTTCCAAAACCTCACAATGGTTTGTATTTTTTTTTTCTTAGTGAAAATGAACCACAGTGAATTACACATAGATGTATTTGTAGGATAAAACAGTCATGTTAAGCTTCTGAGGAGCCTTCTAGTTAGTATGTGCTTAAAAGTATAGTAAATACAAAGCTATAAATTGGACAAGCAATACTACTACTTTGAGATAAGGATGCTTTTTAAAAGACTTTGCGTATGCTTCAAACAATTGTTAGGGTTGAATTGGGGAGGTAATTAGGGCATGGTCTGAAAGCTGTTTTCCTACACAGAATGGATATGTTTGATGATTTGTTTCTGGCTTAGGAGTAAATGTGAACTATCTCACGTCCATCCTTCATTTACCTTAATGTAGCCAGAGGTTGCAGTCAGTCCAGTTCTTCCAAAGGGACTGGAAAATAAGTGGTTAGTCTTAAGTTGGCTGCCCACCATGATACTGGCTGTTGTCTACTGACAGCATCTAAATCAATAATATGTCTAGAGGGAGAGAGAGAAAGACTATATTAATTCACAAGCGGGAAAAATTTGAAGGATGGAATTATGGTTTTTCACTCTCCATTTTCTAAATTTTAAATTAGTCTTGTGCATTGAAAGAACTGTTTGTGAATACCTTTTGTTTAAACTTACGCTGGTTGTTGCATGTGTTTATATGCCTAATTTATAGCATGATTTCCTTCTACAAAATGGACAACTACATTATTGCCCTATCTCAGGAAGTTTCATGCAGTTACTGTGACCTCCTATCATCACTGTACTTCTATAGGCTATACAGATTTTACATAGACATTAAATCAATGTAAGCAATATGAAAACTCAAATGCAAACATAAGACAGAAAAAGTGAAAGACACTGCAGTTGCAGGTGTGCTTGGCTCTGTGTCGCTATATACTGATGTCAAATCTTGGATAAGTACTATATGTAGTTGATGTTTCTGTCACATAATTAAGTTATTGTGGTTTTTCAAGTATGACTGCTATGAAAACTGACCAAAAGAGGTACTGTGTGACTGAATAACAGTAATGTATTTACATATAAACTTTCTCTAACTAAGGGGGGAAACATCTAAAATGGAATACAGAATCTGTAAAACTGAGTAATTTAAATAGATCTGAAAAGCTAACAGTGTGCTTGCTACACGTTCTTGGTGTCTAAATACCACTAAAATACTAGGTAATCAGTTAACAATTGACACTTGGTTTGTAGAGGAACAAACCTGTTTTTGAGCATGTTCTCAAATTCCCTTATTTAATGAGCATCACAGAATTCTGTGGTTGACCTTATTTTGAGGCTGGTTGCAATATTCCAGGTTGTCTTCAAACTTCTGGGAGCAGACCTGTCAATACCTTTAACACTTTGCCCTTTTAACACTTTGGTTGTCTAGTTCCTGTGCTGATAGGCACATCTAATGTTTCATGACATCAGAGCCTTATGCCAGCATCAGACTTTCAGCCTCAAGTTTATAAATCCTATGGATTATTGTAAGTCTCCTTACTGCTGCTGAAAATTATTTGACCTCTCCTTTCATGTGGGATGCTAATCATCTTGCTGACAATTGTTGGGGTTTTATTGTTGTGGTGGTGGCTGTGTCTTTGGCTGATGCTCGTGTTCAAAAGCTACCGTGATTTCTTGTTCTCTTGGACGTGAAATGGCTGCTGGGTTGGATGCTGGAGAGGAAACGGACAGATGGCTGCTTAGGAGATAGCCTCCGTTTGTACTGGAAGTCCATAGAGGATGGAAAAGAATGATGACTAACTTAGGTCTTCATTTATAGATGTAATAAATATCTGTTCAATTGAACATTGATGGTAATGTGCAGTCTGATTATTTCAGGCTGCCTTATTCTTTGCCCCATTTCTGTCACTCGTGGTTGGAGATTTTGTTTCTGTACTTAATACAATAGTTTAGCAGGCTAGTCTCTCTAGCCTTTCTGCAGGAATCATCCGCTCTAAGTTGAGCGTAAGTTGGGAGTTATCAAGATTTTGTTTCAAAAGGAAATTAATGCATCCCAGTATTTTAAAAAGCAACTGTAAACTGTGTTTTTAGAATCATCACTTTTTGGCTGCCACCTCTTCCACATTACAACTGCTTTCTTAAACACTTCTCATTGATTTTCATGTTTGTATTAAAAGTAAAACTGTTGTTTTTTACAGTATGTATGTTTTTACTCTTGTACAGGACCCTGAGCACTGCATAAATAAACTTCTTATGAAAAGAGAATTTTAAAAGAAAACTTTTTTTAGTTTGTCAGTTCTGTTCATCATTCATGCATATAAATTCTTGTGTTGAAAATAAGGTGTCCCTACAAATGGAAAGAGAGGGACAGAAACCTGAGGTAGGCTCTTCTTTTGTCCTTAAGTGTGTTGACTTTCCCAGCTATCTAGGAAAAAGAAAAATCTTCTGAATAATAAGGAGGTTTAATTTTCTGTCTGTTCTAAGAAAATTTTAGCAATGAGGCAAGAAATGTTTTGAGTTCTTCCGGTGTTAATAGGTCTTTCCCTTTAAGTACGCACTTTTTTTTTTTTTTTTTTTTTTTTTTTTTTTTGCATAAGAGCTCTCTGGCAGATTGCCCGATTTCAGAGCAGGGTTATTTTGCAATTATTTTTGTCTGGTTTGTCTTAATCCCCCTTTTTTTTAGGGGAGGGCTGTTTTGGGAGCATCACCCAATTTGTGTATCAGAGAGCTGAGGTACGGCTGTGAATTTTTTTCATTTAAGTGATTTTTCCTGTTAACTTATAGCAGCTTTTTTACATACTTGACATAGAAAAGGGAATCACTTGACTGGCTGAAATAGATGCAGGTCTTCCCTACATCCTTCCCAGAGCCTGTAATATGTTTCTGTGATACACCAGTGGCATACTTTTGCAAATTGATTCACCGGGCATTTGTTGAGATAGATCATCTGAGTTGCTGGTTACACAACTTCTATTAACTGTAATGGTTTTAAAACTATTTTCAAGGTAGGCAGGATTCTCAGGAATTCAAAATTTGAGCTGAGCATGTGCTCAGTGCATGTTTTTTTTTTACGATAACCAAGTTCTGTGGATAGCAATGTGTTTTTTGTCAACTACAGATAGAATCTTCTCTTAGGGAAAAAAGAGTAGGACAGCAAGGAATGAGCTGTGATTCCTAGATGTAGTTTTAGTCAAAACTACATCTGGGGAAGGGGGGGGAGGTGTTTGTTTTTTAACTAGATAAGGTGTTTTCTTAGGAACTTTTTTAGAAGGTATACTTTGATACAAGTTCCTTTAGTACCTGGTAATATCTGAGCTTTAAAAAATATTTTCCATGTCACTGCTGAGGTCAGGTGTGTTCTCACTGGAGGAGTGGAAGGGAATAGACAATTTTATGGAAAAATACGCATTTTGTTAAATTACAGGGAAATCTTGAAGAAGAGTATGATGAATTGTTCCTTTTAAAGCAGTAAACAAGAGACAGTTTTCTGACCAGTTCACCAAAAATTGTCCTCTTTGGTCCTCTCGTGTTCTTCTGTCATGGACAGTAACCTCAGGTGAAACAAGTTTGTTGCAGACTCGAGAAGCACTTCCATCTCTGTATTTCACTAGTCTCAGATTCGAATGTGAAATGTACTTGAAAGAAAAAAGTAGTAATGATCATTTATGTGTCACTCTATTTGAAAGGGTTCACTAAAATTAATCCTAGGACACTATTATAAATTGAAGAGTTCATTTTGCAAACCATTCGCAAAGAAAAGGCACATTGAATAAATGCCAGATTTGGGATGCTTCATTGTGTAAGATATACTTCAGAAGCCACATTCAGACAATGTTAGACATCAAGTAGCTAATCTCATGTAGTTATCAATACATTAAACACACCCTTTGGAGACTTCTGATAGAAACTAAGGAGCAGTTTCATGATATCAAATGAGATATTACCTGAGAAAATCAGGAGCTCTTATTATCATATGCTGAAAGTCTTCCAGAGAAAGTTTGCCATCATTGTCCAGATCTGCTTCATCAATGACCTTGTCACATGCAAGTCTAACTTCTTCTGGGGTAAGTTCGTTTCGGGTTAATTTGTTAACTGTTTTTTCCAGATCTGATTTGCATATGTAATCATCATTGTTAAAATCTGTCAAAGGAAAAACAAAATGACTTCAAAGCGGCAAAAGGCAGTATTTTACACAGTCGGTTGCCAAGGGAAAATGGGAAGGGTTTGGTTAGCAGCCCACAATGTGTTTATAAAAGTAGGGCTTTCAAATCAGAGATAGAGAGTCTTGCAGTTATCTGTATTTGCTCGTATAGACATTCAATAACAAAATAATAAGCCATGAGCCCAGGATTTTTATCATACATGAGGGTAACAACTGTAAATAGCTTAATAGCTAAACATAGTCTAGCCATAATGAAATTATCCTAGCAAATCAGTACTACTAAACAAAATGCAAGGAGTAGCATGAAGTTAAAGGAAGAGCATAGGCTGTTCGGTATGGGGGGAGTTCACTTTCTTAATATCTTTGCTGAATCATTTACAGCTTAAATCACAGGGTGTGTTTTTTTTTCTGTGTATGTCATTAATATGTTGTTGGGCTTTGGCTGATCACTAAGGAAGAAACTGAAAATGGTATTGTCAAGACCAAATTAATCTTTAAAATTGCCCTTGGGGAAAACTGCTAAAAGTGTTTATTTCCCAAAGAAACCTACAGATTTATAGGCAGCCAAATCCCTTGTGGCTGCACTTTTCCAAGCAGTCTCTAGCACGAAGAAATATTTCTTAAATGTTTATCAGGTCTTGAAAATTGCAAAAAATTTCAGGTTGTAAATTCTCTAGTAAATCCTAAGCACTAACCAATGTAACTTCCAATCCCAATTAAATAAGAGTAGAGGCAAAAGGATACAAAGGACCAGAAGTTTCTAGGACAGCAGGCATTCAAAGGCAACAAATAGAAAGATTGTATTAAGAATGTACCTATCTAGAGACCATTACGGTGGCAAAATGGATATTTTGCATTCTTACATGCAGCTGCAAGATTTCCCCGAACTTCACGTTTTATGCCTGTCTCACTCACCATAAATTTTAAAGGCATAATATGCCTTTAAGTCTCTGGGCGCCATTTCACTCAGCGCTGAAAACATGTCCAAAAAATCATCCAAAGTCATATTGCCTTCTCCATCCTCTGAGAAAACCTCTGCTATCCGCTGGCGGAATGGATTGTCCTGGGAAACAGAACACAGGCGCAAGGGAAGGTCATCTTTTACTAGTATTTATTTCAGTGCAGATAAGGCACAACTGGAGCAAGATTACTTTTGTTGTAACCCCCTTTTGGCAGTCAAATACTCCCTTTGCTGCTATTATTTTCTTGTCTAATGTATCAGAGGTAGAAACAGCTGCTTCAACTGTTGTACAATTTCAGTGTTTTTTTTCCAGAAGAAATCACTAGAAGCTTCCAGAAAGTCTTTGACATTAGTTGCCAAAATTTTATTGTATTTCAACCTCCCAGCAATTAGTACTGGATCAATTATTTAAAAAGGTATATTCAACGGAAAAGTATCACTCAAATCTAGTTTTGTTCTTTGCACTGTACCTTCAGCTCTGGCATGCTGCCAATGAGCTCATAGGGAAGTGTCACGTCTGGTTTATCTGTGTAGTCGAGTGGAACTAGCTGTGGGGCTAGATCTCGGTATCTGTAAAACAGTCTGAAATAGAAAGAAAGGCTTGTTTAGGGAGCAGGTGATTTAGAGCTCTAAGAAATATGTGTTTGCCTTTTTCATATCATCCTTTATAGTTCGCATCCTTTACTAGATGGATGATATTAGTCACTAAATAACATTTAGTGTGCTCTGTAGCTGATGGTCGTAGAAACAGTATTTAAAGGAACAAAATAGTGTAACTGGTTTTAAAAACAAACAAACAGAAACACAAATCCTTCACACTTGCAGAACAAGTCAGTGGAACTGCTTATAACAGGTATACAGGTCAGGCAGCCAAGCCACCAGACACAGAGTATCTGAAAATGGAAGAGGAGAGGGATTGGGTCCCCCCCACCCCACCACAACCACCACCAAAGTTTCAGATTTACTTCAATAGTGCAGACAATGCTATAGAGGCATGTAGTGTATTTATGATTTATGAATTTATGATAACAAGGCACAAGACCTTCAACCTGAAGGTCCACCTAATCAGTTTTCAAATACATAAAAAGTTGTTGTCAGGCAAGAGGGATCTGTTTTCCAAGTCAATGATGAATGTGATTAGAAATAATAGGTTTACACTGCAGCATGAAAGATTTGGTGTGAACATAAGAAAAAAAAAATCTGGATGCCTAAAGCCAGAGAGATTGAGCTCTTGAATCTGCGACCAACCCTAGGATACTTTCACCCACCCCAAGTATTTTTCTGTGGTTTTTTTTTTTTTTTTTTTTTCTGTGGTTTTTTTTTTTTTTTTTTTTTTTTGTAGAACTAGGTTCAGGAGACAGAAAGTATGCACATAATCATTTGAATGAGTTTTTTACTTTTTCACCACGCTATTTTCTTCAGTTCTTGTACTAGGCTAAGGATCCTGTTCACAGCTGTTGTCAACAAAACAATAGCACAGAATGTTAAAAGGGATCCCTATCAATAATAAATGTCTTATTCATGATACAGTTATGGTTCTGGCCTCTATTTACTACACGGAAAGGCAGACAGCTTTACATTTCACATATTACAGAATCATTTGTCATTTTGTACTGAGGTTCTAATCAGGGATGCGTTCCATATAAAATTGCCACGTGTGCTCTGTCTTTCAGAGAAATTAGCAAGTAACGTGGAATGATCTCTTGAGAGATGCAGATACTTTGCCTTTATCTTTCCGTTAATTTGCCCAATGGTTAGCAAAGGCAATGCAACCTTGCTATTATGTGTGTTATTATCTGTGAAAGTACAATTTACAACAAGAGGAGAACAAGTTCAAGTTTGCAGTGAAGACTCAATTCCACATCAACAAAGTAGGGAACCTGTCTTTATCACTTCCTTTGGACAGATATTAAGTGGATTGGTCCATGAGGCCCATGAAGGCTTTGGGAAAAGCGCACCTTACAGTATCAAAGCAGAACAGTTTTCCAGGACTAATTATTTACATCAAGAGATGAAAAATCTGAATAAAATTTGATATAGACATTACTGATTTTATAAAATAGGCAAAGTATCCCACACTATAACAGCATACTTTGAAGCATTTGTTATGGAACAAAGTGAGGGAACATGAATGTCACTGAAGGCGTACAGTAAAACATAAATTGTTACATTTATTTCACACAGAGAGACTGGTACCTTAATAAAAATTTAGAGATCTGGCTCAGTTCATGACAAATGATGTACTTTCTGTATATAAAAAAGCAACAGTGAGGGTCACATTGTCCAAAGGTATGTGGAGTTGTTCTGTCCTCTATCACATTAATTTTGCATAAATACATTTTTAAAATATTTTAAAAACCACCTCATATGTAGCCTGCCTTTATAGCAATCTCTGTACCTTACACACAAAACGCACACACAAGACTCACCTCAGAATTTCTTTCCTTGTAAAGAATGTGCAGTCCTGTGAAATAAGAGAAAAGATAATATGCAATGATAGTTTTAAATGCATTGGCCCAAACTTTTCCACTACAGTGACTTAAACACTCATATTGTAATGCAAGTGGCCAAGCATTAATGTTCTTTTCTTGGCATTATAATAATGATTATTTCATAACCCTTCTTCCTCTTGAGGCAAAATTAAACTATGTTACTTAAACCTTTGATGTAACAATACCCACACTTAACAATTTTTGAAAAGATTGTTTTAAAAACACATCCTTATTCAATGTGCTGTCTAAATAGCCATTTAGTTTGGCATTGTTTTATACCTGATATGCATCCAGTTGCTCTGGAGTGAAAATGGTTTGCTTGTTGCCCATTTCTGGCTCTGAAGGCTGGTTCTTGTCCCATCATTCTTTCCTCAAAGTTACCTTTATAGGAGGTCTGGATATTCAGACATTAAAAGCTGCAACAATGAGGTTCAGGTAGCAGAGGATCAAGTAACCAGCTTCCCTATTGCATGGGCTACAAAGAATCATAATAGGAGCATTTCATCTAATCTTTAGTTTGGCTACTTAAGGCTCTTACCCAGCATCACTCACCTGTCTCCTGTGTGCACAACAAAGACTCATATTACAGTATTTGGACAAACAACTAATAGCTTCTTGGTCGTGTCTTTGAAATGGTAAGTAGACCTTGTAGATTGCTTTTTTTTGTTTTTTTTTAATTCTTTCAAATATTTTAAAAGACCTAAAAACTGTTTGGAATGTCTGTCTTCTCTAAGAATTAGCATTAAATACTAGAAGTAAGTAATAATGAAAGTAACCCCCCCACCCCCGTCCTTTCTTTCTGAATTTTCTCTATAATATTTACTGTACACTGCCCACAGACAGCACATGGCAGTTTGTACTGGAGATAGTATCTATAAAGCCCAATCACTCTATTCTGCATTATCTAGTAATATACATTATCACTATTTAATGATTATTAGTGTGGCATGCATACATATAGACATATGTGGTTTTTACACTAAAATACATGTCAATATATGATTTGTCTATAAAAACCGATATGTGATGTTAAAGGTTACATGAAATATGAAACTTAAGGGTCGAGGGAATAACTGACTGCATTTCTATGGCACGTAGCAGGCTGCATAATAATACATGTTCAGGGGGCAAGGCGTAAAACCTTCCTTCTCGGCCGTTCATCCATTAAATTGGCAGCTTTAGCAGCAAACGAAGCCCTGACGCCTGGTTTGGAGGATGCATCTGTGAGGTGGAGACCCCGGAAAGGCAAAACTATCCTCCCGCCTCGGGGGAGGAGAAACGCCGGCCTCTCACTCACCGCCCCGCCTTGAAATCAGTAAAAATTATTCAGAATCGGTCCGTTGGGTGTGGAAAATAGGCGGCGGCGGGAGGAGGTTTCCTCAGCGGCGCTTCTGCGCGGCGCCCTCGGGGCGGCTCCTAACGGTTTTCTCCTCACAGAAAAAGGGGGAGTCGCTCCTGGCGCCCGGCCTCCCGCGCGGCCGTTGCCGGGGCAACGTTGCGGCGCATAAAAATTTGTATTCCCCCAGAAGCGAGGTTAAAAATCTTATCAGAGACCCTACGAGGTCAGTTAAGGACACACTATCTGCCCGTCCAGAAAAGCTTTCCCTGGTGATAACTCAACAAAAGCTAGAAATGGGTTCAGGTGATGAAGAATCTCAAGAAACATTAAGGTCCCACTGCTACCAGTTGTGTAAAACTTAGCTGGGAGAACTTCTAATTGCTGCTCTCCTTATATATGCCTCCTCCCAAACGTGAACAGAGAAGGGATGAGGGGCAACGTCACAAGTTGCAGCAATGGAAATTCTCACTGGGGATAAGGGAAAAAGAAATTCTCTTCTCCTGTGTCCCCCCCCCCCACAGCAAATGGAGAGGATCCTGAAGAAAGCGTCTAAAACCCATAAACAGCGAGTGGAGGTGAGAACTAAATTCACTCCTTACTGCGACCAGCGTGTGTTTGTCAGCACAGAGGATGGCGCGGGCCCGGAGGAGCCCTTTTGCCTCTGTGAAGCCCCCAAGGTGGGAGGCAGCGGGGCCCTGGCGCGCCTCGGCGTTAGCGAAATCATCAGACGTTTCATGTTTTCGCTCTCTTCCTCTCCCCTAGGACTTTAACAGGCACTTGGATACTCTGACGGAGCACTACGACATTCCTAAAGTCAGCTGGACGAAGTGAAGGGGCGGTTTTCTTACAAGGCTTTGGAGTTGTGTTTGTATCGAACAGGGGTCGCTATGTAAATCCGTGTATTCTCGGTATTGAATGTTTAATATATCTTCTGAACGTTTGTGACCTTGCGCTGTCTTATTTCACTGTTTTTGTCTTTTACACCAAGTAGTCAACTAAGCCTCCTCTTCGATAGTGAAAGCTCTGGTTTATATAGGTGCAGTGGGCTGTTTTCTTAGAGCTCGAAGCATGGCTGAGTCCAAAAGCAATTGGTAGGAGCCAGCTGGAAAATGTTTCTATATTAGTTTGATACTAACTGTTCTCCTTCTTGGAACGGAAGAATCTCGGACAGTCTCTTCACTTAGCTTTGCTTGTAAATTATAGGAATGGTATCAGTTGTTTGCACCTAGAGTTCTTTCAGAGCTCAGGGTGGGTTCTGCTGTATTTTAAAATCCTCTTGTAACTCTGATGTAACTTCTCATTAAAATGCTTTTTTTTTTTTTTGGTGTTTGGTGACCTGTACAAAGAGGTAAGGGCAGCACAGTGATAAAACAGGTGTTTGCATGGGGCCTTTTTCCTGCGATTTCTATCTTTTGTGCACAATTCCGACTCTCTTCCGAGGGATGATGTTCAAAACTCCAACCTGCCTCTTAAAAACGAGGTTGGCCTGCCACGGCTGGGGTGGCCACCAGCTTTCACCCCACGG